TTTACCATTAAACTGTACTACAAAACTAGTACAACCTTATTGTATATATTTGTTTGTCAATTTTGAGGACAAATGGCCAACCAGTGAAGAGCAAATGAGTTGTCATGATGGAGAGCCAATAAGAAACAAACCAAAGTTGGCCCAAAAATGGTGTTTTCCTAATATTGAAAGAATAAGTGGCCCAACAATGGCTCAGTGATATCCGTTCGTTGGTCCAACAATAAGCCAACAAGTTGGTCTGATTAAGGGCCGATGAGCAAATTACCGTTGGCCCAACATTAATTGCTTACAATGGCCCAACTGAACAAAAATAACGTTTGCCAACATTGAAAAAATACATTGGCCCAACAGTGGCCCAATATTAACTGTTATTGGCCCAACAATAAGCCAATAAGTTGGTTTGATTAAGGGCCGATGAGCAAATTACCGTTGGCCCAACATTACTTGCTTACAATGGCCCAATTGTACAAAAATGACGTTTGCCCAATATTGAAATAATACATTGGCCCAACAGTGGCCCAATATTAACTGTTACATTGGCCCAACAATAAGCCAACAAGTTGGTTTGATTAAGGGCCGATGAGCAAATTACCGATGGCCCAATGTTGAATTCAAACAGTGGCCCAACATAAGGAGCGTTGTTGGCCCAACAGAGGTCCAATAACATCTTGCTATCTGGGTTTTTTTATATGTCAAAGGTTATTAAAACACTCATGCTAGGTCAAAAAAAGAAAAAATTACACAAGTTTGTGCAAGTCTATTTAGATTTATTTCCTTATATGAAGGATCATCTTTTTAATAAAATGACACAAGTATTGCCCACTCATTAGTATGATCCTAGAATCATACACATAATTGATGTTAAGGAGGCTAGAAGGTCAACAACCTATCTTTTTATTAACCCCCAGATATAACTTAAATTTTGGGATATGATATCTTAAGCTGTCAACTATCATTTAGCAAAAAAAATTACATAAATTTTTGTTTTAAAATTTGATTATTTTGTTATATTTTTATATGGAGCTCTTCTTCTAAAGGAGATCAAAATAGTCTAAAAATGGCCACAACCACCCAGCCCCTTTAAGTGTCAAATAAAATATATTTCAATTTATTTTATTTAAACTTTTCAGATTTCCATTCAGTAATCCAATCTCAAATGTTATTTTTCAGGACCTATTGTACGAGGGTTGATCCAAAAGTTGTGGAATATCTTCATATTTTTAGCTTTTCTGAGTCAAAGCCAAACACAAACTAAGCGTTAAAGGACGTTGACCACTGACGTAGGTGTACTGTGCTTGACATTGTTACTGAAATTAAAATATCATATGGAGTATTTTTAAAATATGAGTCTAAAATGAAGAAAGGTCGGTTCGAGAGAATACCCAGGCTTTTCTTGAGAAAAAATGGGGGAATTGTGGCATATTCTGTCAAAGAATGGGTTTAACTGAGGCCGCAAATTTAAGTTACATAAAATGTTAATTTTTTCCCATCATATAAACCCCCGATATCTTAACCGTGTATTTATGGTACGGATGTGAATTTAAAATGCATAAAATAAATAAATATCGAAGGCATGGTGCCTGAAGATTTGTTGAATATCAATAGATAATCAAGAATCGTCTGAATACATAGTCAGCGCATGTTTGTCGGCTGTTCTTATGTAGTTGTATATTGAACAAAATAATGTCATATTAAAAGGAAAAGAGCCGACAAAAGTGCGCTCACACTTAATTTAACAAAAAACATGTAAACAAACTTCTCGCTTCCATTGTTAACTTCGATATGTTTATTAGAATCCATCACGTGATGACCACCTGCGAGTGTACTCGTGGAAACAGTTACATTGTATTCTTCAACCTGACCTAGATGTAAATCACTATGTTTGGTGCCGTTTTCAAAATTTAGCACATTAAATGTTGCTTTAATTTTGCGTGTCCTCACATTTTTTTTTTAAAACTATAATGAAATCGCTGTAATATTCCAAACACATATTCGAATTTCTAGAGAGAGAGATTGTCAACAATGACACAGATCGATAGCCCCGCCTCCTATTAATATTGATAGCGCGACCTAAAAACCACTCCGGGTACATGTTAAATTCCGGAAGACGACACTAATGTATCGTTGTTTCAATTTTGATTCATGGCAACAAGGCATTGCTTTTGTACATATGTTCTAGCTAAAATAACCATGTATACGTCGCTCTTTCTAGTGGTTGTAATATATTTTTAAAATCATTAAAAAAGATAACACTAGTCAAAGTCATGACCATAGTTAAATCAGACTCTGAATTTCATTCTTACATATATACTTGCAAGGTTTGGCACACACAAACATTCAAATACTACTTTATCTTTACCCATGCTCACAACCAGACTTGTTCCACATTCTCTAACTGACCTTCATCTTCAATGCAATTGAACAGGCCAATGTCAAATATTTGCATATCCACTGCTATCTCCCACTATGAACATGTAGATATCAACTGCGTTCATAGGACTATAGACGCAACTGCTTCCACTATGAGTGCAATTGCTCTATCATACTCGTGTAGAACAACCTCTACTACACTTTAAAAACGTGTTGAGAAGTATATATATGAAATGTTTCATAAGAGGAATAAAAATAAGTTTTTAATAATATTCTTTCAAGAAAAAGGAAATTCAGAATATTTAAAATTGCTGATTTATATCTTTAAAAATTCAATTTTGGTCAATGTATTTAATTGTATAATAAAACTTTTTAAAAATTGTAGAGAACTGTCATATTTTTATTTTTTGTATCATGCATATTTGAACAAAGAACGATAACTCTTCACACTTGGGTAATAACATTCAGAAAGAGAAAATTTCTTTAGCTAGTATATCTATTTCAAGAATGATTTCAGCTATTAAAAATAAACAGAAAAACTAAAAAAAAAAATTATAGAAAAGCATTCTGGAGTAATAATCATTATAAAAGCATTCTCATTTTTCATCATAGTGTTAAATTATTGATTTTCGTCAGAGGGTTTTAATAACGTTGATCGATGACGTCACAACTGCATCAAAACAAAAATGTGATGACGGCGCTGCTTGTATCGAGATAACTGTGTTTGAGAGGAAAATACTTTGTAAATATGTTTGTGATTTATTAGAGAAAAGGAGCATTAATCAGGTTTACTGATTTTAAAGCCGTATGTTTTTCTTTACTGAAGACAAGAAGCTGCGTCCTTATGTAAGTCAGGATTTCCTCTGATATTCTTGAAAAAAAAAATCAAAGAATGCAAATATAAGTAATAAACAACGTTATTCAGTGAACATGGCATTATGAATAGCAATAGCTCTGCTGGCATATTTTCCATGATGCGCTAGCGCGCATCATGGAATATGCCAGCAGAGCAATTGCTATTCATAACACCATGTTCACTGAATAACGTTGTTTATTTCTTAATTACAAGTACCTATAAGCCCTTTCTGGACAAAACATCTTGGAATGAACACTAAAGTACCAGAAGATATATTTACCGTGGACCCTTGTCTATTTTGAAAAAATTCTTTATGCGATCTTAATAATCAATTATAAACATTACTTTAAAATTTCGGAGACATTTTTTGTGAGTTTTTCGATTTCTTGCTAGTGTTAAGAACTTAGGATCGGACTACTTAATCTAGAAATACACGTTTTCATTAAAATGGAAGAGGATCCCTACAACAAAGAAAATGTTAAAGTACTTGTGTACCTAAGTATACAAAAACGGTCAATTTAACTTACTATGGAATGTACACTTTATTCGTATTTACTTAGTATACTATTAATATTTCACATAAAATACATATGAAAAGGAAAATTATATTTTTTTTAATTATCTTATTTGCCCATGTCGGCTCCCCTTTTTGAATCATACTGCATAGTAAATTTCAAAAGAATGTACATCCAATAGCAAGAGTTATCTTTTTATAAATGTTTTTTAACGACAAAAAATGTAACACATATAAAAGACAAAAAAGTAATTCTAGTGAAAAATAATGTTTGAACATTTAATAATGGTCCATAAATCGATATTACTTATTTAACTTGTAAGAGTTCAAAATCTGGATGTATTTTTTTTCAAAGGTTATTAAAATGTATAGACAAAAGGAAACATAAGTCATGTTTCCTTAATATATTTTATTAAATTGATTATTTTAGTTGTGCATGTACATTATCAAAATCTGGTAAGGCGACCTACAATTGTAAAAATGAGAACTTTTACTCTCTCTCATCAGAGGGTCGGCCCTCGTGAAAAAGTGGAAAAAATACACATTTATTAGCAAAGTCGTAGGTTTATTAATTTTTGTCCTTCTTCGTGCATTCTTGAGACCTAGTTTTAAAGTCAAACCATCTATTGTCAGATAAATTTCCGGGTACGCAGAGGAAAAAAAGCAAAATTGTTTCTCATTTCCTTTATGAATTGTCATTGGTTATAAAGATTTTTATGCTTAGTCAAAAAATTACACAACTTCGTACAAATCTATTTAGATTTATTTCCTAGTAAAAAGGATCGTCTTTTTAAAATAGATTATATTGCTTGTTCATTTGTTGATCCCAAAATAACATACTAATATGATCCTTATATGCTAAGTGTCAAGTGATAAATCTCAATTTATTTTTATTCAGAATTTTATATTTCCTTTCAATAATCTGATCTAAAATGTTCATAGAAATTTTTTTAACAGAACTTATTATAAATAATGTATTTTATTAAATGGTTTTTCATATTTTTTAAAACAATTCCTGTGCTATTGTATATTTGATGTAAGTCCATATAAAATGATAATAAGCAGTTGTCCAAGTAAGAAACCTAGTCATCGGACTCCGGGGCCCAATTTACAAAAGAATTTACGACCAAGACTAAAATTTTATTATGCTTATAAATTTTATTTGTTACATTATATTGAAACTGAGTTTAATCATTTTAAAAAGGAATGCAATCAGATATTCTTACAATAGCAGCTTAAATAGAATCCTAAGTTTTGCCCAATTTCACTCTTCACTAAAATTTTTATTTCTTATAAATAATGTTACGTTTTGTCACTCTCAGACACTTCCATACAACTCTATCTTTATTATTCAATAATATCAGTACTGGAATCCCCATCAGTCAGTGTTGTGCCGATATGTGAATTGTTTGGATAAGAACTCATTGCATCTTCATACAATTGGCTTCCGTTCCGTTCTATATCTATAAAGCGACAACGGTCTCCATTAGTTTGTTCTTGTTCACAGACGTCAGCAATTTGTATTTTATAGTCCTCATTCTCCCTGGAATTTCCTAGGTCTGCATCCTCTGGAGGCATGTCCACTTGATCAATCTGATGAACGAAAGCAGAATCCCCTGCTTTTATTTTTAATGTAGACTGCTGCTCGTCAAAGTTGCTCTTCAATATTCTTTTATCATTTTCGCCTAAATAAGGATTGTCACCGTATGCTGGGGCTATTTCAATTTCCCTACTCGATTTAGGTATAGTATTGTTCCTATCTTGAACGGCACATTCACTTATTAAGGGATTGACGTCTTGATTTAGATGTCTCTGAGATCTTTTCCTCTGTGGAATATCTACAATGTTCTCACCTTTACTTCCTTCATCATTCGTTTTCATTGAGAAATCTGACTCTCCCTCCGAGTGAGCACGTTTCAGTATGCTAATAGAGGGCTCCTCGTACGCGCTATGAACATTGATATTGGATACTGAGTGGGGCTTCCTTGGTCCAATACAGATACATGGCGGATCTAGAAACTTTTCATTCCTTAGATCTAGTCTTAGAGAAAGAGTATGATAAACAGGATCATCTTTGTGACCATAGAGTGAATCGGAGATTGTTAGAGGGAGGGGAGATTCCTCGACATATATAGATTCTATTTTATTATACACACAGTCGTCTCCCTTGAGGTGGTCTGCGGTGTTTCTGACATCAGGCGCTGGAAAAGGTCTGCCCCTCTCTGAAATATATTTCATTTTGAAAATCTATCATCAAATGCGAGTTTGTACAAAGCTCATGCCTCATTCTATTTTTTAGAGACTCCGTAAATATTACTCACTCCTTCGTTTTCTTTTTACAGTCCTAAACAAATTAGAAATTAATTAATTAATATTTATCAATTGTCAAAGAAATAATTACAAAAAAATTTGATTGTTCCAATAATATTATGGCATTAATTAATTTGATTGAAGGATCTAGACTGTCTAATATGCACTGCTCTTTCTGCACTGTGACTTTGCCGAGTAAAGGGTTCGTCATAATATAGTGAAAGTTAAAGGTTCACCTTTGGCCTTTTTGGCCCTGTGAATTTCTGAAAAATCAGAACTACTCATTTTTAGTTGAAAATTTGTTGAATTTCACCCTTGGTGACTTCATATCAAATTAAAATGATATATTTTTTTCTCTAATCCATGTATTATGACGTCATAAATTTCCTCAAATCTTGAAAATGTCTTTAAAAATGGAAAAACTTTTAAACCGATTTTGAATATTTTGCATAACCCCCTACCTCTGATAAAATGTTTAACTATATAATGAAAGAACTGTTTCGGAAGATTCTAATCCATGATACAATTTTTGGATCGCGGGTAGGGCTCCCATTTTAATCAAAAGTTGAAGATGCTCAAATTCATTCATTTTCTTCAAAATTCATTGTAGTTTCACAAAACCTGAGTATCAAAACTTGGACTCTCAGAGGTAATTTTTTTTATAGGAAATGAAAGCACTAAGTCTCCACATTATGTTTATGTTCGAAATGGGACGTAAGGACCTGGTCAGTTAATTGGTATAATGGCAGGACCATTTTATGGAGTACGTGAATCTACTTCTTTCTGTTTAATCGAAAAAAAATCGTACGGGATGTAATATACAGTCAATAAATATTGTAGAATAACTTTACCTTTTAGAATAGAAAAAATAACTGATAACAGAAATGATGCAAAGGGACACAAGAGAGCTTCCAATGATAATGACGTCACTGCTTTGGACACCATCCAGATTAACGTGTGCTTCTGTATCTTAAAAAAAGGTATTTTTAATAAGCAGTATAATGTACATCAGAGTAGGCCGAACATCACTTCAATTTCAGGAATATACTTTATAGTTTTACCTTCCGTTGAATCAAATTTTGCCTTAGTTGTATAGATTGGCTCTTTGGACCCGTTGTACAAACTTGTTATCCCACCAATGGCATCCGTTGAACCATTTGTTGTATTTGCAGCTTCCACACACCCCACCTCTTCACCACAGATCTTTTCATTTGTACATTTACAAACAATTAAACCATTTCTTGGTGTTGGTGAATTGATACACCCCACCCCTTTATCACAAATCTCTCCCTCTGTACAGTTACAAATAGAAAAACATTTATCTCCGTATTGGCCATCAGGACAGGACTCAGAACAGTTCACTCCATACGTACCGGTCTCACAGGCTAGAAATTGTTCGAAGACAAAATATTCCCATATTATCCCTGATGTGTATGTGATCATAAGGATTTATCTTCAGTTTATATTAATTAATTATTTGATATCTATTGCGTAGTTAAACATTAAAAATCAAATGAAACGTGTACATACGTATGCAGCCCGTTTCAGTAAATCTGTAATTAGGACAGCAGGTATTGTTCTTGGGCCTGAAAGAGACTTTATATATGTGTAAGCTGTATTTATCAGAGACAGAAATTGATATCGAAAAGATATATATTCACGTGATCTTATGATGATAAACTTAAGAACTTACCAATTCTCCACGCATCCTCTGATGATTGGCATCAGCAAAAGTAAAAGTAATACGTTAAAGTTTTCCATCTTTCATCTCGGCTAATAAATGTATTTTTAAATTTTGACCTTGTTCTGTAACATTTTATTAACTTTGTTGAAATATTTCCTTGTTGCTTGATGTAACAGATTATATTGGGCAATAATAATCTCTTTTTGTTAAATTCATTCAACTTTCAAGGATTCAGAGATGGAGATATACCTAACACATATTGTTCCGCCCTAAAGCTTTTTACGTCACGATGTAGGCGGGATCAAAAATACCTTATTATGAATCATGACAGGCAGTGCAATTAGGAGATACTTGCTTCAGGACATTCTAGAAGTGGTGTTAATCACACCTGGATCATTAAAAAAAATTCAAAAGTACTTTTTAAAAATATATATAAATTTTCAAAAGTCAGTACACATTAATTTTTCAAAATAAATTAGATGCTAAGCTCATGGCTTTTTAAATATGAGAGTCAACAGCTTGAATTTTGAAGCTTGAATCATACGATATATCTATATAGTCTTCGGCCGAAACCAGGTCTTCTAACAAAATGTGGGAGTTGCAACTGGGACTTTATATTAGTATTTGAAAGCTGGCTTGCTTTTTGTAAGCAGAATTAATTGAAAAAAAAAAACAAGCTGTTGTTTTTAACTCAATTTAAGATATATCAAAGATATGTCATCAATGAACAATAGACACTTTCCTTAATTTGTCGATTTGGTATATCCCAGTGAACATATTCAAAATTTGAACGTCATAATTTCTATAAAGACGACTTTATTTGAAGAATAAAACATTTTCAACCCATTAGTCTGTATTTTAAAAGGAATAATTCTACCCCTTTTAACTAATAGTATCTTAAAATAACTGTAAGTTGTTGGAGAGAAGTCAAACTCATTATTTATTTTTTTAAGCTTGAAAGATTTTTTTTAAAGAAATCAACATACCAAATAGTAAGAGTACAAGTCTATCTGACCCACATCGCCTCCCGATGCAGCCTTCCGACGCATTTGGATATCAGCTTTTATGCCATTTTTTCAGTTATTAATGTCAATAAGTAGCTGTGTTCTTTAGATTATTTCATTTTTTGTCTTTATTTGATGCATCGGTAAATTACTATATTAGTTATACAATAAAAAATATGGAATTTGATACGAGAGTCATTTAACATACAGTATTTTATAAATGTTGAGGCATTTAATTTTATTTTTTCACAGTTGAAAAGTTCTATTAAAGAGGTACTAAATACAGAATGCCCAGTGAATTATCCCATTGTCCTTGCAAGGAAATGAACTTTTAAAGTAAGCATGGTCACTACACTGAGCGGAAAACTGTTTATAAATTATCTCTTCCAAGAAAATGAAAGTAACAATGTAAAAACTGTGCCTTTTACAAAAATAGCAGAAGAACATATTTAAGATATGATATTATATGTAGAAAAAAGTTATTTTTAATTTTGTATAATTTTCAAATGGATACTGTAACTCAGACGAAAAAAAGAGAACTAAAAGATTACAATCAGTCTGGCCGATTGAGGTCACGTGACAGCGCTTAGGCCGGTCATGTTTTTTTGAGCTCCCGCTTTGGGCCGAAAAAATGTTATATATCTTCCAATATGTGGATTTAATGTGTGTGTAAAGTGTGTATTTCATAGTGTAAGTAGTGAAGATTGTTGAATTCTGTTTTTTGATGCTTATAATTTACAAAACTTTGATATTTGGATATTCGTACAAACATGAATAGAAACAGGAGTCGCACTGAGCAGAAATCACTGCTAGAGAAACATACTTTCTCGGTACCTAGCATTACAGGTAATCCATTCACACCTGAGTTGGTCAGTGCTGTGCATTCACTCCCTAGTCTTCTACTAACCTCTGGGAATAATGGATTCACTTAGGACAATCAGAAATCTTACAGAGGAAATAAGTGAGATCAAGAAAGGCTTGTGGGAAGAAGATGGGTTCGATCACAGAATCAAACTGATAGCCCAGCAACAAGCAGATGGGGATGACGAGCTTCAGCTTCTGAGACAAGAGAATAGGTCCCTCAAAGAAGATGTCAACATGCTAAAATGTATTGTGATAAATCTGGAGAGAACAGTAATAAAAAATCAAAATGATATAATCGATCTCAAATCGAGATCTATGAAACAAAATATTTTGATACATAATCTTCCTGAAGAAGATGACGAGGATCTATTCGTTAAAATCCCAGAACTTATCAAGACGCATTTTAAAGTAGAAACATCTTTTGCGAATATTCACAGAAACGGTCCAAAAATACAAGGAAAGGCAAGAACCATCTCGGGGAGACTCAACAAATTCACGGATAAGGACTTAATCTTACAGGCTCAGAGGGAAATTAAAAATCAACGTGCAGAACAAGCAGATGAAAATAACCAGAATTCTTCCGAGCAACAGAATTCAACTTTCTTCATTACCCCACAAACTCCAATCGAAATATCAGAAAATAGGAAAAAAACTACTGGAGTTGAACAGTAAATACTGGAAAGCTAACGTCAAGACACGCATCATCGGAGAGACACTTGTATTTCCAAACGGAAACGTACATAGAGACAAAGTACAAAAACCAAAAGCTGAACAAATCCTTGGAATGGATCAATCAGAAAGAGAAGCGCTGAAGAAGATCAAAGTGACAGAATTGGAAACTAATGAAGGGGGAAACATCTTCCGGGGAATTGGGGGGACAACGGAATGCTACAACCACGTGCGCGACATGTACAAGAAAACATTGTGTGATCAATCCCATGCCAAAGCTGACCACAACATACTCGTATACAGATTTCAAGATTCAAACGGACAGATTCATGAGGGATATAACGATGATGGCGAGTTTGGCGCAGGACGTAGATTAGTGAAGGCGATGCAGAACTTACAAATCAAAAATATGACAGTTGTTATCTCGCGATTTCAAGCGAAGCACATCGGTGGTCGCCGATTTGAAATCTTGGAAAATCTGCTGACTGACGTAGTTCTCCGACACACTAGTTAGTGAGTGTGCATATGATGTGTATATACTCCCTAGTTTGTTCCTGCAGTCAACATTTAATAGTTTCAAAATTATGCAATATTACCGAGAACATGTTGAATGACAATGTTAATATTTAATCATCGACTGTTTAAAACTTTCAACTCTTTTTTTTATAGAGTTGAGCTTTATTGTGTGTGTGTGTGGTTTTTTTTTTCTCTTCTTTTTTTGTATATATGATAAGATACCCCCCCCCCCCCTCTTGCTTCATATTTAAACCGAACTGTTTATAGAACGGTTCTTGTTAAACAGTGATAACAATGCTACACTGTGCTATTCACACTCTTTTTTCGTTCACAAATAATGTAACTATCTTGTATTAAGCGCTTTCTAATGTATGTAAATAATTGCACTTTTTTTTGCGAAACTAACCGGAATCTTTTTTCCGGATAATGTTAAGCCATTAGAGTAGGACTTTGTCTTTTATGACTCGGAAATAAACTTCCGACTTAGACTATGAATGGAAGACATGTAGCTTTTTTTCGGTCTCCTAGTTCACCCTTTAAAGGTATGTTTTTTGTTATTTTTTGTAAATATTTTCATTTTCTTTTCTTTGTTTCTTTTCTTGTTATTTTTGGCTCTTTGACACTTTGTATTAGTTTGTCACACAATCGTAGCACTGCAGTTGGTAACGTTCATGTAGAATTTTTCAATTTTGATGTCGTTTGAGTTATCGTGTATTTCACTTAATGTAAGAGCCCAGATAGCAGGATGTTATTGGACCTTTGTTGGGCCAACAACGCTCCTTATGTTGGGCCACTGTTTGAATTCAACATTGGGCCATCGGTAATTTGCTCATCGGCCCTTAATCAAACCAACTTGTTGGCTTATTGTTGGGCCAATGTAACAGTTAATATTGGGCCACTGTTGGGCCAATGTATTATTTCAATATTGGGCAAACGTCATTTTTGTACAATTGGGCCATTGTAAGCAACTAATGTTGGGCCAACGGTAATTTGCTCATCGGCCCTTAATCAAATCAACTTATTGGCTTATTGTTGGGCCAATGTAACAGTTAATATTGGGCCACTGTTGGGCCAATGTATTTTTTCAATGTTGGGCAAACGTCATTTTTGTAGAGTTGGGCCATTGTAAGCAATTAATGTTGGGCCATCGGTATTTTGCTCATTGGCCCTTAATCAGACCAACTTGTTGGCTTATTGTTGGACCAACGAACAGATATCATTGAGCCATTGTTGGGCCACTTATTCTTTCAATATTAGGAAAACATCATTTTTGGGCCAACGTTGGTTTGTATCTTATTGGCTCTCCATCATGACAACTCATTTGCTCTTCACTGGTTGGCCATTTGTCCTCAAAATTGACAAACAAATATATACAATAAGGTTATACTAGTTTTGTAGTACAGTTTAATGGTAAAACCCTTTAATACTATCTATATATGCTATATATGCTAGATTAATAGTTTAATACATATTCTCAATATTCTCATAGAATTGCCAACAGGTATTGCATTGTAAGTAGCTCTACATTAATTAAAAAACTGAGAAAAAAGAAATTAAAATATAAAATTAAATTATAACATACTATAATTGTATTGCTCAGTGCATGAAGAAAACATTAATAAAGAATTAAAAGTGGATGCTCACTTCAAGCTATACATGTAGGGTTACATGACTGTTTACTCCCTCTCTGATGTAAATTATGCACAAGTTCAGTAAATTACAGGTATCAATAAGCACGTCTAACAAATAAACAAAGCCCTCCTAGCTGTTCTTAAAATAATACTAGAATGAATCCCGTCATTTTGTTTACTTACACAAAAAAATGTTTCTGGCATCTGCATCGTGTTTATAACCGACAAACGGACACAAAAAGGGTAGAACTACAGGAATGTCATACTATATCACAGAAAAAAGTTAGGCACTGCCACTTTCCATCTGATCCCTCTTCTAAGTCTCCATTTCCTGTTCCCGAGTCTTCTCCTCCCCCTTCTTTTCTTCTCTGTCCGTTTCTTCCTCCCCCATCCCTGTCCTTGGCATACCTTAGCCATTCTTTGACTGTGTTCTCCATTTCTTTTTAGAATCTCCAGTAGCACTAAAATTGTAATATTTGGTACTTAATACATTTGTTACTTTTCTCAGTAAAGAGTAAACATACGATTAAATTTACAAGTATATCACTATATGTTTAAGCTGTCAATTAAGGAATAACCGTCTTTTTTGTTTCATGGTGTGATTAAGTGATTAGCTTGCGTGATGAAGGCATTTATGCATAATATTTATACGCTTGATATCATCATCAAAACAATTTTGATTCAATGTTGCCCCATATAAAATACATGTATTGAAAATTTGTCGTTACACTGAACAAATTTTAAATGAAAGAACCCAATTTATTTTTAGTACTGAATAAATTTTGCTTTAACTTCAGCAAATTCAACATTTTCAAGATGTTTGATCATGTTCTCGACGTTAAGTGTATATAAGTAAATTAAGTGGTAGACTTCGGAAATGTATTCTACTAGACACAAATTTCAATTTAAATAAGGAGCAAATTATTAATTGTTTTAACTGTATCAAAACACATTTTTATACTTTCATTTATTTTTCTTGTATATAAACAAAAAAAAATTAATCACTGATAATTTATTTTGTTTCGATAAATTATGAGAATTTTAAATTTAATTTTAGCTAGCTTGATTTTTCAAGTAGGATTGGTTGTAGATTTATTTCTGATGTAGAGACGATCAGATTTGTTAATATACAGATTTGTAACAATTAAATGTTTATACACATTGGCCCAATGTTGGTCCAATATATCGGACCAACATATGACCAAGGAGCAAAATGACACTGGGCCAACGGCATTTGCCAACATCGGCCCAATGTTCTTGTTGACGTTTCGCCAACAATGTCGCATTCATTGGGCCAATGTTGGCGCGACGTTGGGCCAATATCTGTAGAAATAACACTCTACATTGGGCCAACGTTGGCCCAACATATCGGGCCAACATTGGGTCGATGAGCAAACTTAAATTGGGTCAATGTCATTTGCCAACATTGGCCCGATGTAACCGATTACATTGGCCCAACGTTGGCCCAATGTAAACATGCTATCTGTACAGTGTTGACCCAACAGCCCTGGCCTCTGCATTCCCCGTGTCTGATTTACAAAGATTTGTACATGATTTCGTTTAAAAACTAAACGTTAATTCAGCTGTGCCGAGGCAAACATATTATTAATACTTACAAAGTGAGTGCAGATATGCAAGGTTTCAGTCTCATTACGCTCGTGTCAGATTAAAAATGGCGCGGATATTACAAGTAGCCCGGTTGTTGTCTACCTATGATGCTCAGTCCGATTCATGGTATATTGGGCCAACGTAGGGCCGATGCCAATCTCCAAACAAATATTTTCTCTCATGATAATAGTTTTATGATATAATGCCAACAGTAAGCCCAAAATTAGCGCACTATTATACATAACCAGCTATCAATATTCCATGTTGGGCCATTGTTGGCCCACTCAAGGTAACCCAACATAGAAAATAGAACCATAATGTTAGATTTAGCCAACGGTGTTCTGCTATCTGGGTTATTACAAATAAATAAGCATATACACAATTCAAAAAATAGAATAAAACACTCTGGTGCTTGATCACTTAAGTGCAAAGTTAAAATGTTGAAAATATCATATCTACACAAAAGCAGTCATCCAATGATAAGCATTGAAATAGAAAGTCCTCTTAATTATTTCAGAATGTACCAACGTTGTCCCAACGTAGAGCTCAGCAGCTAATTATAAAATTGACACCATCAATTAGTTGGCAGTATAATAATTGGGCCAACGTTGGCCCAATATAAATATCCCATCTTTGAAGACCTAAACAAAATAACACTTGTGTGTATTACAAACATTGGGCCAACGTTCGGCCAACATACTACTACCAACTTGATAAGACACGTTCTTTAAGGGTGTATTACAAACAATGGGCCAACGTTGGGCCAACATACTACTACCAACTTGATAGGACACGTTCTTTAAGGATGTATTACAAACATTGTGCCAACGTTGGGCCAACATACTACTACCAACTTGAAAGGACACGTTCTGTAAGGGTGAATTAGAAACAATGGGCCAACGTTGGGCCAACATAATACTACCAACTTGATAAGGCACTTTCTTTAAGGATGTATTACAAACATTGTGCCAACGTTGGGCCAAAATACTACTACAAACTTGATAAGGCACTTTCTTTAAGGGTGTATTACAAACAATGGGCCAACGTTGGGCCAACATACTACTACCAACTTGTAAATACACTTTCTTTAAGGGTGTATTATAAACATTGGTCCAACGTTGGGCCAACGCCATGATCCTTCCTTCTTTGGAAACTAAAGTGAATGGAAGTTGCTTACGTTGAACCAACGATGGGCCAGCATAGGAATTCCGTCAGGGTCGAGAAGGTTGACTTGGTAAAATTGGTCCAACGTTGGCCCAACGTTGTTCCCCCAACGCCAACCATACAACCTTTAACAAATGTTGGCCCAACATAGTCATGCTATCTGGGAGGGCTCGGCGCAAAAATTAAGAGACTCGGTATTTTTACATGGCTAAAAAAATCCTTTAAAAACAGTTTTATATTTTTACAAGAAACGCACTCAGCCTCAGAGAATGAAAGTCAGTGGTTAAATGATTGGGGGTCTGATATAGAGTTCAGTCATGGTGAATCCAACAGCAGGGGAGTAGCTATTCTTTTTCCTCATAATATAGATTATATTATTAAAGAAAAGGTACAAGATAATGAAGGTAGAATTATACAAGTCAAGTTAATGATAGATGAAACCAAGTTTATTTTAACTAATATTTATGCTCCAACAAAGGATAAGCCAAATTGTCAAGTGGATTTTTTCAATTCATTATTGGCCTACATAGAACCGCATAGCTTTGAAAATCTAGTCATTGGAGGGGATTTCAATATTACTTTAAATCCATCACTA